ACCTGGTCGTGTTGTAATATTTTATCGTACATAGATGTGACGATTGTAAAGATAAAAATCACGACGTGCAAAAGTTTCTGATCAGACAGACTTTTTACTGTCTTAACTAATTCTTTTAGATATTGAAATATGAGTCCGTGCTTTTGAAATATGAGTCCGTGCGACTGGGATCAATCACATATTGTCGAAAAATTGTTTCGAATGGCAGTGAATGTGTGTGCATAATCGAAATCGATTTCTTTTTTTTTTTTCTTTTCAGTTTACTGTATATTATGGTCAAGATTATCGCTAGAAAATAGCAATTGTGATATGATTAGATATATTTACGTCTATATTTATACAGTGATATTTAAATCAACCTCAAAGCAGTAGTTAAGGGAGATGGATTATTATACAGTCAAGTTCATTCGTTAATTATTATTTTCCTGAATTAAGATACATTCGTTTTTTCTATTCGTTAACGTCGTTTACGTTGAATCACAATACGACATATTTTCTATCACAATCTAAATAGATTGTGAAATTAATTACTTTGAAATTGTAAGCTAAATGTCATAAATGAATGTAATTTTTATGGTTTTTATGGCATTTTACGGATTTTACGCGGCTTACAACATCAGTTCAAAGGGACAAGCATTTACGTTACGAGGATGATCGTAAATATTTTCAACTAAAATAAAAATTCACGGCAAGTCGTATATACTGTTCAGCAGTTTTCAAGTTTCGCCAATTTTCGTATTAAATCAATAGTGGAATTGATGCATCACAGACCGTACTAGTCTCGTCCAAACGTTCAGGTAATCGGTGAGGGTTCAACCCTCCAAAGTTCCCACCTACTCGAAAGGTGTATTTACTTTTAGATTAAACTTTTGTAATTGTATGTACGAGCGTGAAGGAGAGTATGTAATTTCGAGCGTATCTGAAAATAATACCCCTCAGTTATCCTATAGTGGATACTTTTTAATAATTACCACTTTTAAGATAATAATCATCTTTTCTTTTTTTTTTTTTCCTTTATTCCTCTAATGACTATTTCCAGCAACAAAACTCTTGCTTTATTTTTACTATCTTTCTATACGCAAGAAATATTTAACAACATTATATAAGTTATTTTTTAAATTCCCAAACAATTTGAAAAGTCAGAGAAACCTAAAAATTAAAAAGACCACTTTATTTATTGATATTTTTGAAGAAGAATTTTCATAATTATAGTTAAAAATTATGGCACAAGAAAATGTTACTGTTATACATTCTCACTTTATACGTATGAAAAAAGTTAATATTCTGAATTAATATATACTGCTATATATACTTCAGTTTGATTTATTACTGTATTGAATTTGTATCCTCGGAGTGTTCAATTCCTGTAAATTCTTAAATTTTATCCGTTAATTCTATCATCACAGATACAAATACAATAATTGCTTTCTCACAAGTAAGATAAAGTAATATCAAAATGATGAACGCAATTTATCATATATGATAAATATTACGACCGAAAGTACTAGTCTCGATGGTCAAATTGCGTATTAAGAAATACGCGAATGATAACAGAGAGCCATTCGGTATATTAGGTACAGTAATGTGTTGTCCAAGTTGAAAAGTCAATAAGCCATTCAACAAAGCGTTTGGTACCATTCAAATTTTAAAGTAAGATGCAGCCGTCTTATGTCAACGTGCGCATATTTAGTTGTCAGTTGAATAAAAAAAGCGATGTTTTCTACATCGTTCCAACTAAAATTCTCAAGAGAATACATAATAAATTGGGAGTGTGTTTGACTAACAAAATGTTCGAAAGTTAACAATATCGTTGTGAGCGATATCATGCAAATTTGGCTGACAATGAGAAGTGGTCTATTTGATTCGTACGAAATATTATTCCCGACCATTGAAATAGATATTTTTTTTTTTTTTGAAACGACTTGACGATAACCAGTTTTATTGATTTGCAAGACGCGACTTGTATAATAGCGCGAAACGTAAATAAACTACGTATAAATAATACGATTATCAAGTTTATCAAACGTTAACATAAAGTGTCACTACCGAGAATGATACGATAAAAAGTCATATTAAATCAAATTCCGAGAATGTTATTTCAAAAACGTAACAGTTCAATGAACTACGAAACACATATTGATTTCATATGTACGTCCAAGGGACGCTCAAGTTAACATATTCAGTAAACATTCAATACTAATTCAATTAAATCGTCAAAGGACAAATATCGAATCGAAATTGAAATTGAAAATAATGAAATTTTCATAAAGAGACGGCGACAAATTTACATTTATGAAATTACTTTTATGAAAATATTTTTATTTTATGAAAATATTTTTAATTTAAATCCCTTTACAAATTATCAGACTTAATTCTCGGAAGCGGAAATTTCTACAAAATATTTTCAATGTTGTGTACAATTTTGCATCTCGCAAGTATAACCATGATTACATCATTAAATTAACACAAAAAGTTTTAAACATATTTAAAACATTTTCGTAAATTGACCATAAAAATTGTTTGAATTGAATTATTTTTGTAGCAATTCATTATACACAGATATATTTCATGTGAGATAAAAATTGCGTCAGAAAAGCATGTGCTTAATTCACACTCGCTGAACCATACAATCAATTGAACAACGTAAACGACCGATATTAATAAAAAAAAAAAAAAAAAAAAAAGAAGACACGAAGATAGAGATAAGTATTTAGTGATATTTATAAAATATCGGATTCATTTTTCGCACGCTTTATCTCATGAAAATTTCGCAGATCTAGGTAGAAGAGCGAACAACGCATGAATTGGAAAATTATTTTTTTGTGTAATTTTATTTTTTTGCTTGTGTATATTATTTATTGAACAAGTTAATATTGATTATATGAGATAAACTACTGTTTTGTAATTCCTCTTTCCTTATCTTTGCTAATTCATTCTACCCGATAATCTTAGTATTCTTTGATAATCGAATATCAAGCGTTCTTAAATAGAAGAAGAAATAAAAAGAAAATGGACAAATAATGATGAATTATTATTACATTCTTCGAAACGATTGATGCAATATATATGCGCATTGTTTGTGCAACTCTTGCACAAGCATATGCATGTGAAAAATTATATGAGAAAATTATATTTATGTTGGAGCAGGTATATATTATCTCATAAAATAAATTCCTCATTTAATCCTTCCATTTCAAACCAAAAAAAAAAGGACTTTCCCGCTGCTTTAAGAAAGTCTTCAGCATTATTTTTTACTTTTCACAAATTCAGAAAATCCTCTAATTGATAACAAAATATGATTCAGTCGAATATGATACAAAGAACGCAGAAAGATCAATTTAAATTTTAGATACCTTCTGAGAATTTTCTTCGTTATTTCAATAATAATTTAAATTTAATCTTTTCTTTCTATTATTGATATTGCAATATTGTCCAAATAAATTATCGTTACAGAAATAACGAATAACTCATTTCGTATTATTGCAAATCAATATGTATGATTATTTTCATTGCTAATATCTGTTATCGTAATATTGCAATGCAAATTACATTATTCCATCACACGTAAACTTTCCAGAGTAAAGAAAGTCTTGACTCATATTTCAAACACATTATTTCATCGGTATTTTAAGGGATATATTTGCAAGCCATAAGATTGTGTTACAAAATCAGCAATCGTTATATTTCGATGATGCAATAAATGTAATAAATGGTTCCTTAAGTTAAAAAAAAAAAAAAATAGAAGTAACAAAATTTTTGACAAAATTTTTTAATGTAAAGAATCGTAAATTATAAGATTTCAATAATACACTTGTTCTGTAACGTTTATCGAAAGCAAAATTAAATTTTAATCCCAAATGTTCATATTAAGATTGATTCAATCAGAAAAAGTTTTGAAATAAATATACGTTTCTTCGTATTAGAATATAGAACACAAAATTAAAGATGAAAAATTCGCCTCAATGTAAAGTAAAAATTGTTTAATGTTAAAATGCAAACAGTTGAAGAGTCATTTTTATAGGACTGACACTAAAATTATAACACGAGTTTCAAGTTTCAAAAGTTACTTCACTGTAAAAGATATATAATTGCAAAAAAGAAGCTTACTAGTAATTTACACATATGTATCTCGTATTCAGCTTTGTCAGTGACATTGTATCAGACTGCTCTATGATTACGTGTTCTCGCCCTGAAATGATTACGCATGGCGGCTTTTTTTCTGAAAATAAATCATTGCGCGCGTGCAGTATGAAATTACACACACGTTTCTTTTCTAAAAAGTTTTCTCGTTGAAATCATATGCATGAATTCGAATCAGCACGTGTATACGTAGAGCAAATTAGATTAAAAAAAAGTTGAATTGGCCTAAAGTCATGATCATAGCGAAACAATTATATTAAAAACGTACACTGTACTGAAAAATTCATATTTTCTTCCAAGTAAAATAATATGTTTTCCAATACTTAATTTTATGAAAAATTGAAAATGTCGTAACGTAATTACTTACGTATATATGTTTCGCGTAACGTGAAAGTGAATTTTATCATAAAAATAGGAAGGTAAAATATGATTTACAACTGTTCCATTTGCACAATTTAATATTTTTAATATTGTATTACTTACAGATGTGAATAACTATTATTCACGAAATAAGCTTACTGACATAAGAACGATCAACAAGGACAGGTGGCCAATCATTTTTCATTTATCCTGTCTTGGCAAATTTCATTTTTGCTGTTTTTTCGTGAATTATTTTGAAAACTCTTATTTTGTTGAAACTTGCGCAACAGCATAATCTACATTAATGAACTTCATATCAGTTCATTATTTTATTCTACGATTCGCTATGTTTTCTTTAACAACTTGCAGAATTAGAATTACATTCTGTAACGTGCATATGAATGCTTAAACTCTTCCCCCCCTCCCCCCCTCGAACATTTCTAAATCATGGAGGGAGATTCTACGACATATAAAAGTCTAACTGATACGTAACATCTACTCAGTATAAATTCTGTTCTTTCGGAGGAAACGCACAAAGTGTATTTACTGCAGTTTGATAATAATTCATGTCGATCTGGACTCGAAGCTCAAAGTTCAATAACAACTATCCGGTTCCGAAGGAAAGGAAGTTTTCCATTCGAACGAATCACGGCGATTTCCTGAAAGCTCAAAACAATTAACACTTTTAAGGTAACGAACATTTTTAACTCGATCAGAATATTTATCCGCGTGAATGATTTACATGAATCTGCTATCGGTAAAAAAAATTATGTGGTGAGAAAACTCAGCTTGATTATATCAGTCTCGTTTGATGTAACAAGTTTTGAGCCTTTGTCAATACCACGAGCAGTTATAGTTTATAACAAGAAAAAAGAAAAAAAAAAAATTTAACAATATATTGCATGTGAACGTATTTACGATAAATAATGTATCAGTAGGGAACAACAATTTTTAACGATTTACAAAATAGATTCATTTTTCTTTAAATATCGAGGAAAATCACTTACATTCTATTCCATCAGATATTGTGATATCGTTAGTAAGTAAAAGCATAAAATTAACGATCGCAAATGTATGAGTAATTAGCGTTACTTTTAAAGTCAATTCAATTACTGAATTGCGATCTTTGAGTACAATGAAAGAGAGAAGCATGACATCTTTTTGCAGGAGTATTAAACACGTGGACAAGACACGTTTGAAAAGGGAACGCCAAGAGTTTATTAGAAATCGCAATCAAATTACGCGCCATTCGTCATCTCCCGGGTGATCGAGCGTCATGTGATTCGAAATTAGCCGAACGAAGCGACGACGGTACCGAGGTTATAAATAGCGGCTGCCAGAGAGTGGGGAGTCTCTTTTACTTTCTACACTGTGCCGTAGTGCGTTTGGTCCACGCTCGCCTCGCTATTACGTTGTGCGCTGTGCTGGTGTAGAGTTCGCTCGTGCCGAAACCAAAGTAGGGTATAGAGATCAGACTTAAACTTCCTCGCTTTCTTTAACAATTAACAACGTCAGACAAGCTGAACCTGTCAACGAAGTCGGGACACGTGGCCGAAGCATCCGAGCGTAAACGAAAGGACCTAACGGCTGTATCTATTACCACGAAACGAAGGAAAATGCCGGAGACCGCTCACCACATGAACGGATACGCTAACGGGCACACGCCGCCCGAGCTACAGCAGGACACCAGTTTTCTATTCACATCAGAGTCCGTTGGCGAAGGCCATCCAGGTAGGCACCCTGAAAAGCATGCGTTCGTCTCATGACTCTTTCGTATTCCGACTGATATTCGTGCCATCTCGCCTCGAGCGAGTTCCATGTCGGTGAGCCGCGTGTGCCGCCATGAAACTCGACGAACGGGCCACACATATATACTGTGTGCGCACGCCGCGATTCTACCCTTCCTTCTTCCACACTTTCTTTACATTCCTTAAAAAGCTTCGAAATGCGAGGATGGTGTTACGTTGCGACTCATTTGTTCCCCTGGTTCCCTTCTTTATGCCTGTCGAACGCGGGATATCGACACGCTCGAATACTAGATGGGGGGGGCCACATTTTTTTGAATCGCTATCGGAGCAGAAGCCAAGCGGCGTCGCCATGTGCTCCTTAATATCGCAATTTGCTGTGATCTTCGATTTTTTGTACATACGTCTTTCCCTTCTACATTTCTGTCCCGTCTTCCTTTAATTATAATTTCCTGTCAAACATCCTTTGCAATTCAGTTGCGAAATACATACATAATTCGACCGATTTATTACTAATTTATTGCTGATTTATTAATGTTCGAGCATCGTCTCACACGTGTACACGTTGAACGTAGTTGATATCTCTTCTTCTTCTCGGTTCTGAATCTTCATTGAATTTCTGCTGTAGTTTCAGTTATTTTTTAGTTCGTGTAACCTAAAGTAAGAAACCGAACCAAAGATGTGATTGAATTTCGTTTGGTTTACCATAACACCAAACTTTGTAATATCGGGCAGCCCGAACATCTTGACAAAATTTTGCAAATGCGTATAGACAGAGTTTGAATCAATTAGCGGTATAGTATATATTTCATTTTTTGATTATGCAATTGTTTCTGCATATAATTACATTGAGATTTATACATTTGTGTAAATTACACATGCGAATAATTCGAGGAAACACATGCTAATCATTCGAGGAAACACATGCTAATCAGATATGAATTAAAAATGATAATTATTCAATAATTATAGTCTAATTTTTTTTTCATCTTCCTCTTTTTTTTTTAGATAAAATGTGTGACCAAATAAGTGATGCTATTTTAGATGCACATTTAAAGCAAGATCCTGATGCAAAAGTTGCTTGCGGTGAGTTTCTACAAAAATGATTCTAATTTTTCAAATAAATTGAATCAGCTGGTGTCATAACCTCTATTTATAAGCTAGTCAGTGTGACCTTGAGTTAAAGTTATTTTGAATCTTAGAACTCTGGGAGCTAGTACTTAATACAGCTTAAATTAGTAATTAAGAGTACGCTGATTTAATTTCTACATATTTGTATTTTTCAATTATTTAGAGACTGTGACAAAAACAGGAATGATCCTGTTATGTGGAGAAATCACATCAAAAGCTGTGGTAGACTATCAGAAAATTGTTCGGGATACTGTCAAGCACATTGGATATGACGATTCGTCGAAAGGTAAAGAACATTCTCATTTGTTCTTCATGTTTTCCTCTCTTCAGCGATGTATGTTTGTTAAATCCTTTAATACCTTCGAAATTTTGTTAAATTTATTTTATCTGTACATCTAAAACATTTGAAATTTTCCCTGCTAACATAAATGATTTCCATCTTCTTAAACACATGCCCTGTGGCCGGAATGATGTCTTTATTATCTTATTCCTCATAAAATTCGCCTCATTTGGTTCTCCAGAGTCAGATATTATAAATACACGGTCGAATCATGGCACGAAATATTCCGGCATTAAATACAAATTTTATTGCTGTGTTTACTTATTACGAAATTACAAATATTTTTGTCTAATTTTGAAAATGTATATTTTTATAATAGAAAGATGTGCTTTACGCTACATACACGTTAGTAAAATATTAGAAAACATTCCATGACTCGATCGATTGGATGACCAATATCCTGCTCATTATCTTTCGGAAAAAACATACGTAAAGGAACACGTATGAATATGTAACGTAAGCATATCATGATCGTGGCAGGATTCGATTGGCGTACGTTGAACCTTTTGGTGGCGATCGAACAACAATCTCCAAATATCGCTGATGGTGTTCATGTGGACAGGGAAGAGAAGGACGTGGGTGCAGGTGATCAGGTACATAACCCATTCTCAGCCCGTGCCGCAGAGCAGCCATATAATTCAATAACATTTTCTTTTTTTTTTTTGCTTTACCCTCTCCCCTTTTTCTTATGATACATTTGATAGAATTCTTATAACATACATTTTCCTTGTGTTATGTGTGAATGTGTGAATCTGTGTATGCAAATAAGAATTACAGTTGTTCGGATACATATTTTACAGTATAAGAATTCATCTTATCAGGAAGATTTATGTATAAATAAATTCTACTCGTAAATCGAGGCATTCTAGGTTAAAGAAATTCATCACTAAATAAGAATCAAAATAATAATTATTACCAGATGTGTAACAACACTCTATTCCATGTAACAACACTGTTTCATATATTTTAGTTGGATTTTGATGTTACATAATGTGGAATAAAATATTAGATAAATATTTTATGAAATAAATATTACATAATGTTAGATAAAAAAAGAGATTTTATATGGTATTATGTATAATTAGGTCAGAATCAATTTATTTTTAACTTTTTTTAAAGCAAGGAGGTTTTTACTATTATTATCTTGTAATAGCCAGAGTAAACTGGGATACAAAACAGTAAAGCATCGGTGTAATGAGAGTGTTGATATTCTTGGTAGCAAACATTTATATCTCATTCATGTAATTTCTACAGGTTTTGACTTCAAGCTCTGCAGTGTTCTGTTGGCGCTTGATGCCCAATCACCAAATATTGCAGCAGGAGTTCATGAAAACCGTAGTGATGAAGAAGTCGGCGCAGGAGATCAGGTCAATTAGCATTCTGATCAGTTCGTTGGAATTTTCTGTTCTTCTCTATGTCTTATCTAATGCTAGTATAGTTAGTCCTTTCTAGTTTCCTGTACATAATTATTTTTCTCACTTTCATTTTGCATCATTGTTATGTAGGCACATATTTAGTTCTGATAACAGTCATCCAGTAGCTCACTCTTCTTTTCTGTTTCATTCTATGCTGTATGTAGGCTTATTACATTAGTTTCTTTCTAATGTTATATATCGTTATGGTGAAGGTATATCATTAGAATTTGCTCTCATAATTCAATTATCTTTTGCATCTTCTGCCGGCTTTTATATTCTTTGTGTCTTCTTTCATTCTAATTTTAAAGTGTTATTAGTCATCTATTAAGATTTATAAAGATTCATTGACAAATTGACATTATGTGCAATTGTATCCCAATTTTTTTCTGCACATTTTTTTCTTCATTTCAACATTTTTCTTCTCTGATAAGTGTCATAAAATATATGACTAATGATTCAACTCTTATATTTGTTTCTAATTATTTTAATCAAGTTTAAAGGTATTATTATTTCTGTAAGTTTGTGTTATCATTAACCCTTTAGCTACGGCGTGGTTGGCCGTAGAACTGTAGTATCATCTGGACTTTTCTGTCGCGGAGTGCATGTAAACGAAATTAGTAATGTAGTCGATATTGACCATTTCCTGTTAATTGTGTAAGTTCAAGAAATCCACAAAATTAATAGAAAAACAAAAGGCGATAATAAACATATGTTCATTTCAACTTAAAAATGATAATTCAAACCTTATAATAGTGTATGAAGACGAGATAATATGTTATAACCAAGAGACACAGATACGCACTCTTAGAGATATCGCTTAACACTAAAGCATTTTACGAGAAAACAAATGCGCATCTTAAGAAATGAAGACATTTCCACATTATCTCTGCATTGTATACAGTTTTTGAACCGCTAAAACAAGTGAGCCACTTTAATGGCGCTTTGTTCTAAAAAATGAGAGGGAAGCCACTTTGGTGGTGCATAGTAGCTAGAGGGTTAAAGTGTGTGCTGTAAATAGTAATGTAACAAAAGCAATTAATTTAGAAATTAGTGAGTATGGTTGTTCCAGTGTTATCACTTAATAATACTGCTCTGTATGACACTTCACATTACTTAAAAATTTTCCTAATACATTACAGTTACTGCAATAAATTAACTGTATGTTGTATGCACTCTATTTTATTAATGCTTTATTTCCTGTATTACATAATTATATAATATTGTATATTAATTAGGAGTACAATGAATCTTTTTCCTGCTTTAACTTTATACCTTATAAAATTTAGCTGAAATAACTTCAATTCTTCTATTAGGGTTTGATGTTTGGATATGCAACAGATGAAACTGATGAATGTATGCCACTAACTGTTGTGTTAGCACACAAGTTAAACCAAAAAATCGCAGAATTAAGACGAAGTGGTGAATTATGGTGGGCAAGACCAGACTCAAAAACACAAGTATGATAATTATTCAATGATATCACATAGTATTTGCTATTCTTGAGTGCCATAATGTAAAATTACGTTATTAATAATATAACTGATGCGTGCATATTCTCAAATACGATTATTTTTTCTAATGTTGCTTTTCTCTGTTACATTGTAAAATAGGTTACTTGCGAGTATGTAATGGATCATGGTGCCTGTGTACCTATAAGAGTTCATACGGTAGTTGTGTCATTGCAACATAGTGAAAAAATTGGTTTGGAAGAATTGCGTAAAGCAGTCATGGAAAAGGTTATCAAGGAAGTAATTCCAGCAAGGTATCTGGATGATAGAACAATCTTCCATGTTAATCCTTGTGGGTTGTTTATCATTGGTGGTCCACAGGTAAAGTGTATATTTGTTTATATTAAATTTATGTCAATTTTTTGTAAAATGTGTTTAATAATACTTCTTTTATTAATAGAGTGATGCTGGTCTTACTGGTCGTAAAATTATAGTTGACACATACGGTGGCTGGGGAGCTCATGGTGGTGGTGCATTTTCTGGTAAAGACTTCACAAAAGTTGATAGATCTGCTGCTTATGCAGCAAGATGGGTTGCTAAATCTTTGGTAAAAGCTGGTCTTTGCAGACGTTGTCTTGTACAGGTATAAATTATATTGATTAAAGAAAAAAAACATTCTGCTATCTAATAAATTTTGCTCTTTGATGAAGACATAGATATTCACAATGAATTTTTAGGTTTCTTACGCTATTGGAGTAGCAGAACCTCTCTCAATTACAGTTTTCGACTATGGTACTTCTAAATTATCTCAAAACGAACTTCTAGATATAGTCAATAAAAATTTCGATTTACGACCTGGAAAAATCGTTAAGTAAGTACATTTATACTTTGTATACGTTAAAATGATCTATATTTAAATTGATATGATTATTCGATGATGTCACATTGTATTTGCTACTCTTGAGTGCCATGATGTAAAAAACATTACTGAGAATAATAATATAAATATATTGAACACAAATTTAAACGTAGAAGAAATTACATACATAATGTTTTTTCAGGGAATTGAATCTTCGTAACCCCATTTATCAACAAACTAGTACTTATGGACATTTTGGCCGAGAAGGATTCACTTGGGAACAACCAAAAACTCTAATTCTTGATTGATGAGAGCATAGGTTCTAAATCAGTTTGACGTTTTTTTTATTGCAAAACGTCTATCAAAAGTCGTTCTCAATAATCATATATCTCGTAAATGTTTTCCGAGATTTTCCGACCTCCGCGCTACTTCGTCAAGTCCATCAATTCCTTTTGCCAATTTAGTACTAGCAGGAAGAATAACATTAGATTTTTCCACATCACGAAGTACTTGGTATTATGTAATATAGTACAAATTTGTTGATTCAGCATGCAAGCAAGAACAGTTTTTTTTTTTACTATTTGCAATCTGAATTGAAGTTTATCAATCATTAAGTATAATGAAACAATCGGCAAAGGAAAAGGTGAACTAAGCCTGTTATGAGTCTGTTACCTACACTGTGTATTTGCAACAGTCACGTAAGATAGTTTATTTACCAGTGATATACAACTCATCATGGCTTATAAGTGGTGTGTGTTGGAAGTAAAAATGACAAAAGAACAATAATACTAAGAATGTGTAAGAAATATTCTGTATTTGAAAAATGTATAAATTGGCAACATCGGGCCGTGCCTCTAAACAACATTTGAGATGAAAATATTATCTCAAATTTTTAGCAGTGTTTTAGTACGGTGTATGAACGTACGTGAAAGCTCGACCAATTTTGTTTTAAAATATTAATATAACATTTTAATAATTTGTATTTACCTATCCTAGAAAATTAATAATATTGATGCTTTCATGTACGTTTTTTCATTAGAATTATTTATCGTTCGAGTGCAAATATAAACTGGTAACGATTATGTACATTAATTTTCAGCAAAGTGGGAAAATTAAGCGACCAATTATAAACAAATTTTCTTTTTCATATTGTTTAAATCTTTCATGACAATGCAGTATAATCTTGACGAGGGGTTAATAATATCGCATTTATTTAAATCTTTTTGTCGATCAGAACGTACAACAAAATTTTTTAATTACATTTGCATTTAAGTAATCGCGATACTACTAACTCTCATATATACATATTTTCTCACTTTGCTTTGTTTGAATAGATAATTGTAATAGGTATTCTCGATTTCGCAATGTATAGCAAATATGTAATGCAAAATCGAACGTTAGACCTTATTTTATGGAGGTCTAGAGCAAATCGTGTAGCGGAGCTCGATTTTTCCAAGTTGTAGTGTGAAGATCTGTGACATTATCGTATTTTAAATCAACAAAAATGTAAATGAAATTTAGTAAATTCGTTCCATTAGATTGATGTAATGATCTATCATATAATGATATTGGCAATGTAAAGAAACACAAGATCATCATATGCAAATCATAATAAAAAAGATTTTTTAATAAAATACTAAACTGTCATTCATTTTTTGTTATAAACAGTTTATAAGTTAACAATTCCTTTTGCAGTTCCTCATAATGATAATCTATAATCTAACAGATACACAGAAAATAGCGATGTAGTTGTGTAAAAAAAATAAACGTTTATAACTATTTGTTTTTTCGATAATAATTAAAAAAATACAAAACGAAAATTTTATCTTTTACATTTATTTAAAGTATTTATTTTAAGACTTTAACATTAGTTTACTAATATATATATAATTATTAGTTTTGTACTTTTATTATTGTAATGTATATTATGTACAATTTTTGTTGCCTTACAAATTTAATTGGGAATGATCAAAAGAATGTAAAAAGACATATAAGACATTTAATTATATTCTTACAATTAAAGTTATATAATAGAAGTACATATAATTGTACACAATACAAATGTCATGAAAATATGTATATATAAAAAAATGTTTTATTAGAATACTGTTACTGATCTATAATTCGAATAAAATCTAACTTACTGAAATGACATATGTAGTGATGTATACCAAATTAAATATGTATAAATAAATCTCATTGCACATTTAATAAAACAAAATTATGTTACAAATTTTTTAATGCAATTTTATGCATTTAACAATAATGTGAAAATAATTGTTAATGAAATATTGCATATACTAAAACCAAATATATTTAACGTAAATAGAAATATATTAAGAATTATTGTACGGATTCGTGCATAGTTATCATTAGTTATTATATATTTTGTAAATTATACTATAAGATACAAAACTATTGTTATGTATGATTTAAAAAATTCTGCAGAAATATTCTGTATAATTTGAATTTAATGTTGACTGATATTGTAAAGAAAATGATACTCAATTATTAAAATAAATTTAATTTGTCACTATTTTTTTAGGTGCATGAATACGACTGTGCCTTAATAGCGAACTCTTATCAGTGAAAGACTTTTCACATTCTACACACTTGTATGTCCTGCCTGTATGTGTAACTAAATGTCTACTAAGTCCAGATGCATGACAAAAAGCTTTAGGACAAAGTTGACAATGATGTAACTGAATATCATTCGGATCCAATTTTTGATGTCTCCTCATGTGTACTTTCAATGCTTCTCGTTGAGTAAAGCTTTTATCACAATGTTGACATTGGAATGGTTTTTGGCCAGAGTGAGTCATAAGATGACGAAGTAAAATTTCTTTCTGTGCAAAAGCGCGATGACAAATATTACAACCAAACGGTTTCTCACCTGTACAAACATAATTTTAAAGGTTAAAAATTGAGTACTTTTATTTAATTTTTTAAAAATATCTCATTTTATTCCTTTTTTCATTATTACCTGTATGAGTACGTTCGTGTCTAACCAAAGCTGACCTAGTAGGAAACCATTTCTCGCAAGCCTGGCATGTAAAACCTCTTTGCGTAGAGTGAACAGACTGATGACTTTTCAACATTATTCTTCGGGTAAATGCTTTTGGACATTTGTCACATTGAAACACTTTTAACTCTTCACTGGTTTCAACTATAAGAAATATAGTAATAGTTTATAGATTTATGTAAACACTATTATATGTTCAAAGGTTTTTGTACTATTTACCCATAGTATCACCAAGCGGTTGCAATTTTAAAGATTCTCCTTGTCCTGAACTATTACTTGTAACTTCCATCATATAAACATTTTTGTGGTCAGCATTTGCAATTGCTCTTTGTACTTCTTCTGCCTCATCTTCAGATTCTTGTTCCTGTTTAATGCGCGTTGTACGTATCGTGCAACGTGCTTTTGCAGCACGTTCCTCTGCAGGTACTAATGTGATATTTTCTGGATCTTCTGACATTGTTTCTTCCATTTCTAAATTTTCCGAATTCATTCCTGTATTTGATAAAATAAAATACTCTGTTAACTCTACAAGGATTCAATTCTAAGAGCAAATGTTTTTAGTATCATGAAAAATATCTTTCCTGGAATATATTCACCTAAAATGTAACCACCAACAAGTTCTTCTTCCGTTACTTCAATTGGATCTCCATCTGCTTGTCCACTGTCACCCTTAGTGGATACCAAATCAGCTAATAGCTGTTTAACTTGTTTAGATTTTCCACTAGAAGAATCTTTCAACTCCTCTCTGTTACTGTCTTGATTTTCTCCTTCTTCACTTTGACCAGTTAATTGTTGTATTAATTTCATATGCTTACGAAGCTTAGCATCAGCAGCTTCACATTTTTTCTTAAATTGGTAGGATTTTTCCAACTGATATTTGCATGGATGGCAGATCATATTTGGAAGGCCGTCCTCCTCGTATACCTGTAATATAAGAAACATTAATCATTACTCAAATTCTCATCTACATAAAATTATCAGACAAAGTTCAATTCATTTTTATTACTCATTGCCTTTCTATAATGTTCTTCAATAATATAAAAATATTGTTTTCTAAATAATTCCTCATCATTCAAGTTGCATTTTTGTATTAATTTCGTGAGCAGTATTTATCCTTCAACCTAACAATAAAGAAGCATCAAATGTTCGGCAGATCGAAACGAAGTGACAGATATGTGAGTATTTTTTCACAATCGATCGGGAAGAATTACTCAAGACGTAATGGAAATATATCAGGTATTTTGATTTTTTGGAATGCATCGCGATTATACGACATAAAAGATTAGAAGGGAACAGACGGAAGTTTCGTCGGGCAGATATAAAATGGCAACGCTAATGACATTGGTTATAACATTGCAGATTTCTATAAATTCGTAGGGTAAACGATCTGTAATGCAATGATACGCCTTGTCTAGATTCCTGTAATGAAAGAGAAGGTGGCGTCAACGTATCGTGAACGTAAAGTCGATAACTCGGTAAAGCTGGTAGTTGCTTTGCGCAGTGTGTCGCGCGTTCCACGAGAAGTGAAACGTGCATTTGTTTCTTTGTGTATTCGCGTCGAATGTGTGAGGCGACGCTCTCGAACGCGAGACAAAATCGAAGAGTGGGGCGAAAGTGGGAGAGACAGGGACGGAGAGAATCTCACGCAGAGAGATAAACTAGATTCCTATTTTTCGATAAGCGTTTCGACAGACGTACAAAAGAAGAAGTAATCGAACGGTTCTCTGGTTCACATATGTCGCACGTTCGCCCACTCGAGTTCTCTGACTCACCTCCAGATTAACACAAGCCATTATTCGTAGAGATAAGGGGATTGTTTCATCGTCGTAAATCGGCACCATCTCCTCCTCCTTTGCCAAGCACAGTCGGCACAACTCGTTTACATGAATGATTACGTTGCTCGGGCTGTCACCCTTTTTCCTGCTGTACGTTTTCATTTTGACGTTTCCCGAGATCTTCTGCGTGTTCGTTCCTCTGTGAATTTCACCCTCAAACGTCAAGTGGAAGCAGAATTTTCCCTGGAAAGCTCCGTGGAACGAGACTCGGTCACACACAACGGAATCTATAATGGCGGCGGCGGTGGTGGCGACAGCAGCCACGGTTGACCAATGGCGGACATGCGGCGCTGTAGTTCAACAAACATGGAGAAGCGCGATCGTGAACTTTCTACGCGCGCGAAAGAGAAAGACGGTTAAGTACGAAAGAGAAGAGGCATCGTTTAGGGCTTCGTCAACGCAAAGTCGGTAAAGCCGGTAACTATTATTGATTTTCCATTCTTCCCAACGGCGGGAAATGATCTTCGATTCGCTGTTTCTGCGGCATATTCGAATATCCTTGCACGTCGTTCTATAGAAAATTATTCTATGTTCCTCTTTTTTTGTATCGGGTTCTTTAAGAATTATAGCAAATTAGTGGTTGTGACGATGAGGATAAGGACGAATGAAATCTAATTTTTATCATTTCTGTCTGAAGAAACGTTTTGCAATGGGTTTTTATTCAAACAAGTTTTCATGAAGTATCGACCGTTCAGAGATATGCGTAACAACAACGTACGTCTGATACTTCTTTCAAATTGTTGCGAACAGTGCAATGAAACACCCTTTTTAGACAGAAAATTATTATTTCCAGCTGCATCGTTCCAAATGTGATGCAATTTCTGTATTATTTTGCTTTTAATGCATACACAACGGTAATATTGCATTAACATTTTGGTTATCTGACTCTCTTGGTAAGGAACTGAATGTATTGTATTGTGAACATTCAAATACTGTATTCAAGTAATTTTACTGTTTATCGTTGTTTTGTTTACAATTGTTTAAACATAATTATTGATTAATTCTATGTATTGCATATTCACTTGACGATATTACCTGATATTTTTATTTTTATAAAATCTCTAAAAAAAGAAAATAGAAGTATAAAAAAATAGATCAGTTACGTTTTGTAACATATATTGTGGTGTGTAGTAAAACAGAAGTATTTCTTCTATCAAAGGTATAGAAGTTTTTATTTCTTTAATATCTTATAAAGTTAAATGCAAATAATTAAAACGCTTGAATGTTTCAGATTAGTCACGAAATATGATCACAAGTACGCAGAAAAAAAAAAATCTCTTAACCGCCGCACTTTACGGAGCGTGAAATTTCCTAAAAATACCAGCGAGGAAGTGTATAGATATCTAAAAATAGGCTTCCGTTTTCTCTCGTGATATAAATATGAAATTTCTATTGTAAGCGCGCGCCTATGTTTCGTATGGTGTACTCTAGACGGGAAATATCAGTTTTTACAACAAGGAACAGGTCATAAAATATCGTTAAACAATTTGCACCAAGAAAATATCGTCGTGATATACTCTCGTCATCGTTTCAAGAGGAAATGATTTCTTATCCAGGTGTTTGGATTGCAACAGTAAACAAGATTGTTGGAGAATGGTCAACAATTTCGAAAAAAGAGAATTTCAGGAAACGCAAAACAGTTTCCTACGTTTGCCAGGAGCGTTGTCGGATGTGGAGATTGGTGGAGAACGGGGGTCGAAAATAACTAACGAGTCAGAGGAGGAAAGGAGAACGATTCGACGGCTCTTCCGACAGGGAGGGGGTGGTTCTCCGCCAGTTCTCTCGTGCTTTCGCTTTTCCGAGTCCAGTGTGTTTCGCCACCCAAGAAACCCGCGTGCCTTGCGTTCTAGCGCAAAGGTAGGTGCCTGTCGCTGTGAATCGTCATGCCTCGCATTTTCGTCCTGCAAACCTAGAAATTATAGTGACTCGGGAGGAAGGGTGATTTATCACACAAGCGGAACTCTTACTTTTTTTTTTTTCACCTTGGATTTTTGAAAAATCGAGATAGATTCGTTAAAGAATCGTGTAAGAGTGAAATCCGGGAATATTGAATTTTCATTAATTTTTAAAAAGTTTTACCTTTCATCAATCCTTTAAATGTAATGTAAAACGTGTAATATACGTATAGTATAAATTTGGAGTTTACTGCGTTTCAACGTAAACGTTTTGTTATCACGCATACGCATCAAGATTTATTGCAATTCACAGCGCACGAGTAACATATGAAATGTTTTACCAGTTGAAAAATGTTTGACGATGACGGGAATAAACGAGGATTCACGCAACTAAGCAATCTGACATTAGACGTTAGACATAGGACTATCTGACATTAGACACAGGAAATCGCTTACGCATATTTTATATACTTAACATTTTATCGTATCATGCATTTGATTTGTTGTCACTAGAAACAAAAGGCAAAATATTCGATCATATTTATGTTATTCTTCAGAACAGCCCTTCACGTTTATTACAAAACCATCAAACGACTCCCGTTTATTTCATTTCGACGAATCGTTTATCGTACAATTCCGGTAATATTCAAATATTTGCGTGAAACGTAAGAACGATAAGAACGTGTGTTCCGCCTCTTCCATTAACTTATCTACATTCTGCTATCTTTTTTTTTTTTTTTTCTTTTCCTGCAGAAATGCTAAACTGAAAAAAATTCATTTTGCTTTCGCTTCGTGCTTTATTTCTTCGAGGAAATCTGCGTATTTTAATCGAGCTTTGCGTTTGTTGCGAGAGGAAAAAGTCGTCGATAGTCGGTAAAACGTGATTATAAAACTGACCGAATATATCGATAATTGTGTATCCAGCTGCGACGCGATTGATTCTTAAAGCGATCGTTGGTAACAGTTGTTCCAAACGATTATCGACCACGGCATTAACGATGTTACCTGTGTTGGACGATCGACTCTTAGGACAAGAAATATTTCGCGTTCTGGCTCATTGATATTTGAATATCACATATTTACTAGAAATTTGATTGTTACTGCTCCTAGATCGTCCAAACAAAATAATCAGGGTTGAAGTATCAAGGGAAATTTCGTTAACCATAGTGTTTCGAATTTTGCAGAGCATTGCTCGAGATTCGAGAAAGATAGTTAGAACATCAAAACGTAGCCAAAATAAGCGTGAAAATAGATCGCGTGATAAATGCAACTACACGAGTCACACGGTTGTTTAACAAACAGAGGCAAAGTTCCAGTCCCGTGTCCAACATTTTTCGTCAGATCGCCAGGGTGCGTGAAATATTTGGAACACACAGAAAATTAAATCGGCATACACACAGAAAAAAAAAAAATACATGATCGAACGTTTTTAGACGCGTAGCTGTGCGTGTAAGTTTTTTTGGAAAACTGGCACGAATCTCCAACGACAGTCTGCAATACAAGCATCGTCTAAATACGAGCGAACGAGCTTGGAATAGATATCAGTTATGTAAAAGAAAACGCGAATTTTGTGTGTGTGTGTGTGTGTGTTTGTGTGTGTCTCAAAAAGCAGCGTCATAGATTTCCGAGACTAATTGTCGCCCGAATCTTTCGAAAGGCTTGGCTGGCTGTCCGACACGCTATCGAATCCGCAATTCCGCTGTAATCTAATACACAGCCAGAAGTATCATTGGATGCTGCCGGGTCACGAAGTGGAAAGAGGGAGATGTAGAGATTTTGCGGACGATGTAGATATATTCGGAGGAATTTCGCAGCAAAAATAACTACGGTAGACTACCGGTGGCTGCTCACCAGTGACGCGTCAAAGAGAATCCGAAACTTTCATAAGATAAACGTTCCCTCCACTCGTACGTAGACGTATCTTCGTTTTTTTTTTCAATTCTTCGCTGTTTTCGTCCGAGTTTCCGGCCATCAGCAGCTCGGCGTAACCGAGTTCCAAACTGACGATTCAACCAATCGGACGCGAGATCCCTTTCGCTCTGATAGATCGGAGTAGGTTTTTATTATTGAAATTTGCATACCCGTTTTTTCATGAACAGCGTTGAAAATTTAATTCCAAGTACAAGACATTTTAAACTTGTTCTCGCATTTTTCACTTTCATTTTCGCTACTAACTGTCGGTTCTTCGTGTTTTAACCACTTGCGCTGGCAACTGATTGCGGACCGTAACGAGTGACCAAACCGTACACAATAATTCGTCGCTTTTTCTTTGAACTCGTCGGTACTATATCACTGGATAGAAATTATTGACAAGTAATAAATTTGTTATTTGTTTCGTCTATTTTGTTTTACTTAAATATACTTGAAACTGAGGAAATATTGCAATTTTGGGACAAAAAATTCTCAACGTACGTGGCACGTCATTTCAGTTGGCAACTGATTGCGGACCATAACGAGTGACCAAACCGTACACAATAATTCGTCGCTTTTTCTTTGAACTTGTCGGCACAATATCACTGAATAGAAATTATTGAGAAGTAATAAATTTGTTATTTGTTTTGCCTATTTTGTTTTACTTAAATATACTTGAAACTGAGGAAATATTGCAATTTTGAGACAAAAAATTCTCAACGTGCGTGACACGTCATTCCAGCGCAAGAGGTTAACCACTTGCGCTGGCAACCGATTGCGGACCATAACGAGTGACCAAACCGTACACAATAATTCGTCGCTTTCTTTTTGAACTCGTCGGTACGATATCACTGGATAGAAATTATTGAGAAGTAATAAATTTGTTATTTGTTTTGCCTATTTTGTTTTACTTAAATATACTTGAAACTGAGGAAATATTGCAATTTTGAGACAAAAAATTCTCAACGTGCGTGACACGTCATTCCAGCGCAAGAGGTTAACCACTTGCGCTGGCAACCGATTGCGGACCATAACGAGTGACCAAACCGTACACAATAATTCGTCGCTTTCTTTTTGAACTCGTCGGTACGATATCACTGGATAGAAATTATTGAGAAGTAATAAATTTGTTATTTGCTTTGCCTGGGTTATATTTAAATATATTTAAATATATTTAAAACTGAGAAAATATTGCAATTTTGGGACAAACAATTCTCAACGTGCGTGACACATCATTCCAGCGTAATTACCACGTGTTATCACGTCGGTTGTTTCTTGATAACACGACTGGCAAATTTTCGAAATAGGCATTACAGACTCTGAGGTTTGAAAACGTCGTAAATATACAGTAAGATGTTGAAAAATATAAGATTAAAATAAAATAAAATAAGAATAAAAAATATAAGCATAAGGATTTAATCAACATTCTCTTTCCTTTTTTTTTTCTAGACTCGTCCACCGCGCACCAGAATAGCTACCGTAACATCCCTCGCAAGTGGTTGTGTACACGGTAAACACAGGACGTTTCTAGTTTCTATTTCTAAGAGTCATATATGTCAGTGAACTCGAAGTATGTTCCGCGAATTCCGGAGGAAGCCGGTGTATAGTATAGCAAAGCCAGAAGACGACGATGACCAACAACCTACCGGTTCCACGGATCTCGCGGTCTTTGACGGATACTCTCGTTTCGCACGAGACGCCCCTGAGCATTTTTCTTGGCAGAAATTTTACGAACAACTTTCGATCGTCTGCAAATTTAGATATCGGATATCCAAACACTCGGCGAACGATCCCGAAACATCGTGGCGATGATTCGTGACCCAGTTCTCGCGAAGTTGTTTGCACTTCGTTACAATATGCGATCGGTTCGACGATGAATCACCGGGTTGGCTAATGGTATTTATGTTACGAGATCGTGCGTCCGATTCCATCCTTATAATTATTCGCGTGCCAATCCAGGGTAATGTATCGTTGAATCGGGACTGGTACGTGTGATTAATTACTGGCAAAATTTCGACCAACAGCCACGACATACCGTGAGAAATTTGCCGAATTTACCAGATCGGTAGTCACGGACGTTGAATTAATGTTCGATTAGCAGAATAATTTAATCGTAAACTCCGTGTTGGTTTGCCAAACGATAATTATACTAACGCCGTATTTGTTCCGCCTAATTTGACCTAGTTTCGTGAAGGATATCGTGATAGGCAGATTCGTGGTATGTAGATACGTGAGTGTCGTTTGAACGACAATTTTAAGACAAATAGTTAACGTGACTGGCAGCCGTGATATGATGTTAATTATTCCTATTTTTACTCGCTTGTGCATTGAAGGTCAATATTTGCGCGTGTTACAAGTCGCGTTATATTGTTCGAAGAAGTGAACTGTATTTTTAATTAAAAAAGGTGGAGTGAAATAAGTATGTTAAACACAGGCAAATGAATAATATAAAGTAACGATTTACTTTACATAATTACTGTCAACACATCTCGTCGCAATAACGCATTAAATTTGCGACTCTTGCTTATATTTCGTGCATTGGAAGCAACGAAATATAATTACAAATATTACAAAAAATGAATGTGACATATATTACATGTATCTTTTTAATGTAAGTTTGTTTGTCGAACTTTCCAGAATTAGAAACTAATTGCACATAAACGCAACTATGTCTGCACAAAGGACAATGTTTGTGAACAAACAGTTCAACTCCCCTATCAATTTATACTCGCCTCAAGCAATACAGGAGACTTTGGACAGGCAAACTCAAGTTTTAGCTAATGGTGCAGTTGGGTAAGTCAGTTCCTTTGCACTCAAAGTTATATATACACATAAGCTTGACAATTCAAATTACCATTTGTGTCGAGATTCGACGTGCGATATAACTTTTGAAAATATTTCCCCACCCGTGTCCCGTGATTACACACATGCCAAGAAGTAACTTACGCGATCCTTGTTACACAACCATTAGTGGAGAGCAATCCAACTTCAATTTAACAGCAGATCTTCGTTTTTAAAATTTTATTCTCGCTGCGTGTATTGCACATTTTATTCTTAAAAGAAATAAATCCACCGGTAATTCACAACTTTACGAGCATATGCAATAATAGAAAGGAACACCGATTGAAATAAAGACCGATAAAAATAATTCTTCTCTCATTGTCAGAAACAAAAAAGACATCTATAGTCATATTCTTAATAAGTCTTCCATCTTGTACGATGTACATTTTTTTTTCTGTTACGCAATCATTTGTTCAATCTTTCGCTTTTGCAAAAGAACCTAATATGTAGTAGCGTTTCGAAGGCAAGAGAGTTAAGCGCGTTGGGGATGAGAAGACAGAGGGTTTCATTGGCATTGCGACCACCTTGCGTCAATCAAAAGAAGCTGTACCTGGTCCACGTGTGTCGTTTGACGGATTCATATTAGTCCGGCCCGTCAACGTGTGGATGCTGACCGGTTACAGGTCGATGAATCAGCCTTCTCGTCGTCATTGGCGAGTCGACCGTTATTTTCAGAGTACCGAATCACACGAGTTAGAAATAAACCCCTCTCGGAGCCTGTAGCCGTTGCGCAAAGTCCGCGAATGCTGTCGTACTTGACTTAGTTTCGCGTTCGGTGGCCTCGGGGTGCATGGTACACCACCGGTTCTTCTCGCGCGACGTACGACTTCCCTTCTGTATCGTCGACCCTTTCCTCGTGACAACATGCTCGCTCAAAGCAGGTGATTGACACACGGAATGATTAAGTTTGATTGAATTCGAAGGGATTCGGTCAAACTGACTGTAGAAAGAAAGAAGTAAAACGAGATGAATCTTGCTTGAAAGTCCTTGATCCTTTGGTTTGATCTGTGACGAGGGAAAATACGACAGTTTTATTATAGTTGGGTATAATGCGGGTGATAAACAGGGATGTTGTTGATTTTTTTCTAGGATCGATTTCAATCAACTCGCCAAACCAGCGAATTTACAAAACAGTGCGGTTTTACGAATGCTCGAAGAAGAAGAAGCAAGGCAACGAGGTGGTCAACCCAGTGAGTAAACAAGGATTATCCGATCCCTTTCAAAGAGAGAAGTCGTTTCTTGCTACTAATATACATTGTTCCTTGGATAGAAAATAATAACGACTGTGTAAATTCTCTTCCACTACGTCCGTCGTTTGGTACAGTGAACTTTCTCGCGATAAAGTCGAAAGTTAAACTTTCTAAGCGTTCGTTGGTTAATCCGTCATTGTACCACGTCGCTGTAACAAATTTTTGACATGAAGACGCTGTCGTTATTATCGAATATCTGGCCGAAAGTCAAACTTGATGATGCAAATAGATATTTTTTTGACAAGACGAAGAGTTAAGATGCAAATTTGTTACCTGATACAGCAATAGAGGAGGACAATTTATTAACAAGAAACGACTTTAGACAATGTGGAAAAGACAAGTAGTATGCACCTATGTATAAAAGAAACTGATCCAAAGATTTCAGCCATCGAAGTCGCGCATTAATCCAAACGACGAAGACTAACAAGAAGCGAATCTTACGCTGCGAGCTGCTAACCATGAGCCAGGGAGACTAACATCACTTTCAGACAAGCCAGTTTAACGTATCTACGGAGAGGTGAACACTAACAATGTCACTTGCATGACAGAACTTTGATTCGACGAGCCTTTCTTAATCCTTAATCCTGCTGCTAGAACATTCTAAAGTAGAGTGAATTGATTTTTATTGCCACGACCCTCGATCAAGTCAAATGTCTTAGTGATTCTCAGTCACGTCGAGTTTTATATATAATTTTGATTTCTTATTGAGAGTTAAACATACATTGAGAGTTAAACAGTGTACATGTTAGCAGTGAAGGATTAAATTCTGCTTTTTATCCTTTTCATGCTTGATATTTGGCCTTTTTGCTTTCGATGTTCGCCAGTGATTAAACAGAGCCATGTTTCGAGTAACGTCGAGCAATAACTATGCTCTCGATATCACAAATGTTAGTCTTCTTTTTACTCTTCTCATGGTCGTATCTGTCATTTTTGGGACGATGTTGGGTGCTTGGTGATGTAATTGGCAGATAGTCATAAGTTATAAAAAAAAAAGAGAGAGAAAAGTCATTTCTCAAATGGTTAAAAAAACTCGCAACGAAATTCTTTTTCACTTGTTCATATCAACCTCCATTTATTGGCCAGTTACCAGAAATCTTCTAAAATCGGTGGCTAGAACGATCTGCGATAATGAAAGGTACAGGTGAGTTCGGGGTAGCGTCAGTTGTTGGCGAGTATCCGGTTTGGCAAAGTCGTTTCTCTCTTCTTCTGCCACGTCTTCTTCCTCAGTGAAATTCTTGTAAAAGGACGTGTGAAACAACGGTACGTGATCGGAGAAATAGTTGAATTCGCTGGTGTCTCAGTGAAAGTTTGATACGTATCTATGACTATACTGTTGCTTATGAATGGCGCAATTGATTCTATTGATTCATGATCCCATTGTGCCAGAAATCTATCGCGTTCAATTTACGAAATGTCTGCTCGATACGAAGAGGTTACATTTGCGCGATGTAATTTTCAATGCACGTTGTATGTTCCATCTATTTTTCCCTATCGTAAAAATTGGAATGAAACCTTGTTTCGTGTATAACTTTTGTGACTGTACAGTAGCATTCGTTTCGTGGAAGTTCCGCGAAAAGTTCGAAGGTTCTAGAAACGATTATAATCAACGTCAGCTCGAATGTGATTAAATAAATAAAATGTCGTATACATTTCAAACGTGATGGTGAACACCTGTTTAAACGATACTCTTACGAGTACAGTCTAAACTGACGGTTTCCCCAGATTTTCTAGTTTAAGTTTCTTCCATAGAATTTCAATCGAGGGACAATTTAACGGGAGGTTTAATCTTGCTTTACAACTTGTCAAACGATTTAGCTTAATAAAGCGCTAGTACCGAGGTAATATCAATGCGGAGAACGAGTATCTTCTTTCGTGCTAAGCACCTGTCGAGACTTTAAATTACTTGAATTTATATCGACGTGGATTAATAAGAAATTCGCCGCTGTCTCTAAAAATATATTTTCGTATCCATGGCCTCTCGATATCCAACATTCAAGGCTCCAAAACCAAAGAACCTAAAAATACTGCAAGGCTGAACCGAAAATTGTGAAAATTCTTCGGCAATAATCGCGCAAATATAAACTTGGCCGGTATGATGTTGCGGTGTAGTAGCGTGAACAATAATTTGTTATTGACGTAATAACGAATCTTTCCCACGCTTCTTTTTTTTTTTTTTTTGTTTTAATTAAACACGACGAACGAAACTCGATCCCTAGCCAAATACGTCGATGTGTTTATTAAAATGTGAAATCTGACGAAAAGCACGAAGACTCGTTTAAAACTCTCTGCTGATGTCGTTATAACAAGACTTTGTATTATTGTGTACAAGGAATTTCATGAATTCTTTCTAACAATCTCTGAAACGTTTTCAACAAATCGAGACGCAAGATTAAAATCAATTAAAACACTATTCACATGTAACGTCAATTATTTTTATATTATTAACATTATTATTCAGAAAAAAATTTCACTTTGCCTGGATCGTCGAAATTTCTGGAGAAGTGCAACGAAATTTAATGACATTTTAAAAATATAACTTGTACAACGTTACTGGCGTCCACGTCATTGCTTGAAACACAACATGATGTATCGGTACACGTGACTTTTTGGTCGAGACATCTTGTACAAAATTATATATAAACTTTTGTCAACCTCCCAATAACTTTTTCTCAGAACTAAAAATACGATACATAGACAAATATTTGTCATTTTGTTGCACAATGCTCACTGTTTCAATTTCCATGGTGCAATTAATGTACTAGAATCACCAAAATATGTTTATATATATGCATATTGTTAATAAATGTAATAAACTTTTCAACTCGTGTGATAACAGGAGTTATTTGATTTAACTATTTGCAGGACTCAAGCGCGTAGCTTGGCCACCACCTCCGGAAGATCAGGACTTCGACTTTGTGGAACAAGGCCCTGTACAGGCGAAGGTAAATTTCATCATTTGAAAGAACCTCGTTAAAATTATACGTATGCTTGACACTGAGTAGAACGATTAGCGTGAGACACGTGTGTTTCTGACAAAATGAATTAGCGAATTACAATTGCCGAGTCGTAGTTACAGAACTTTATACATACAACTTTAAGAAACGTGGCAGCTCCAATGCCACACCGAGATTTATCGCAACGAGAAGCGAGTTCGCTCCTGCACCTTTGCTCGAATTACATGTGATTTTTTTGTCTCGTGTTCTTCTTTTTTTTTTTTTTTTTTCTACTTGTCTCGTTACTGTTTGCATTTGTCATGCGTGCATCAAATGTTCAAATGTTTTTCTGTTTTTCTCATCCTGTTTCTTAACGAATGTGAATTGCTCCCATCGTGCTTGCTGTTACACCGTGTCACAACCTTCGTTTGCATTGGTCAAGTCCACTCGTGTCATCACCAATGCACATAGTTCGAATTCAAGTGAATTGACTAATCTGAACGAGGTCGAAGAGAGGGATTTCCTACAAACCTTTCTCCGTCGAAAACGATTTTCCATCAATGCCAGACGATGCGAATTGTATCGTAGGAAATCTCGTCGTATAATTCTGATTTCGTGCACGTTGGCCATAAGTAGTATATATTCGTGAATCACGCACACGTAGCATTAATACGAGATATAAATAAACGTTTGACTACGCGGTTGACTACACCACCATGGATATATCGAGGCGGATATATCTCAAGACAATTATCCCTCCTCGGGTACCGCGCTCGAAACAATTCGAAAGGATGATTTGAATCGAACAATTGTTCGGTGAATGGCGATGCCTACAAAAGCCTCTGTTTTTTCCCTTTTATTTTCCCTCCGAAAGACCCGTGGAATCGGTGATCTCGCCTCGTACCAGAGCAGTCCCTCGTCAGGTTCGTCACCGCAGCCACCTTCGACGATCGCTCGTTCGTCGACACGAAGCGCCGTTCCATCGTCTCCGTCGCCGGTTAGCCCTGGTGGAACGCTACGGCAACCGTCGCATTTCCAACATCAGCCGGGCCCAAAGGGTTGGCGACCGGTAACACCCCCGGCCACTTCTCCCATCTCCCAACAACCGATTCAGCCTAATTGGCCAATCAGTCAGCAACAGCAACAGGATTACCAGGTAAGTGCTCGATGCATAGGTGTCGGCTTACACTTGCATTATCACACAAGCGTATTGTACGTCAAATTGTTGAAGGAAACAAACGAAGGATTATAATATGTTGGGGATTATTATTATTATTTTGTTCTTCAACTTCAAATAATGTCTGTAATTTTAAATAATAAATTTTCTCGAATTTTGAATAATTTAATAAATAGTTGAATAATAAATTTCATTTAATTAATAAATAAATTTCAGTTAAATTATACAGTAATAATTATATAATAAAGGTAGTTAAATTATGTAATAATAATTGTATAGATAAAGATAATTAATAATTTATATGATATTATAATCCGAAATTTCGTCGTAATTTCTCTTTCAACTTTCGAAATTTCGTCCGAGGTCGACACCTATGCGCAGTTGAAAAGTTTAACAGGTGGATCGCTTCGCAGAAGACGTATACGATAACAAGGAACTCGTTGTACCTTCTGAGTATTTTATGTGCACTTTCCTCCACTGTTCTGGAAACAAGCGTGTAGTCAACGGCTGTTAAATCTCAACATGTGTTTCCCTCGTGATTCTGATTACGTTGAAAAATTCTATGCGCGTCGCTCGTAAATCGTAAGATTAATCGAATTGTGTTGTTAATTGCAGCAACACCAAGATTATAGTTCGACACGACCGGCACAAAATCAACCCCCCGCCGCGTTTGAAGCACCGCCCTCCACGATCACACTTCGCCCGCAGCCTCCGATATCACAGGTAATATATTTTTTAAATGTCGCCTAATTAAACTCTTGTGTGAGAAATATTTATATCGAGAAAACTTCTCAGTCTCGAATAACGGCAGCGAGCGAGAAGAAAAAAAAAAAGAAAAAGAAGAATGGAATTGAGTATCCCGCCCACGCATGCTCCTTATATTAGATACGCGCTTGATATAACACAATAATTTGTAGAAACTAGCACGAAATAATGCAGAACGTCTGGCATGAGCTCAATCCTGAAATATGCGCTACTCTCACAATCTTCACGGAATCATTTTCAAAGTTTACATTATCGAATTTCTGCGTTGTAACGCAGCTCTAAAGCTAGCTCTTCTATCCAGACAAATGTTTTAGATCTTTTCTTATGTGCGCGAACTTGTATTGAGAAAATTAGGATATTATGTGTATGTCGTGATATTTAGAAATAATTAAACGTTGTTTCAGGCACCAGCGCCAGTTTACCAAGCACAACCTGCCGCGACAAAGGCTCCAGTAAGTGGAAATATGAGAGGAGATTTAAAGTGGCCGCCGCAATCGGTGAAAGCTCAAACGGAAGCCGAAAACAGAGCTAGGATGGAGTTGGCGAAAGGTCCTGCTTTTAGGCCTCGTAGAGTGCAAAAGGATTACAGCGGATTTTTCGCGCAACACGCTCTGAACAGCACCTATCCCGGTTACCGAGCTCCGCCAGGCACTCAATACTTCACCCCTTCTTATCAGCATTAGTAAATCAATTTGGATGTTATTTATCTTATTCGTAAATTCGTCCTGAGCTTGATGTATGTTTCACAACGTTTATGAGAACCGTAAATTTCTTCTTTTTTTTTTTTTTTTTTTTTTTTTTTTTTTGGTCATTTGAAATGAAACGTTACAGTTGATGGAGAAAACAGAAGAAATCACTCAGGATGATGTCCTATCGTTAAATTTCGAAATTAATAAGAAGGAAAAGCATTGAAAAGAAGAAGAAGGATCATACACGAATAATCCAAATTATATTTCAGTTCAAATTTCATTTTTTATACATATAGGACTAGGAACTGTACACGTACGATAAAATACGTGTTTCGCTCTTTCAGCTCTTAGTCGAAATTAATATTAATCCCTCCCCCTCCCGAGATAGTATACTTTCACGAGTAAGATGTCTTTATTTTCTCGCGGTTCTTGAGATACCCTCTGTCCGAATTTCGAATTTGAACATAAATATTTTCCATGTGCCGAGACTGATGGAACACTTACTGTTTTTTCGTCTTTAAAACTTTGAAATCGTGTTGCTTTTTATTTTCTTCAGTGAAAACAATGAATATATAAATGAAAACAAATTTTTTAACAGAGCAATATTTATCTCCCGAAATAATGGTGACAATTAATTGAAGTATGTGTTCCGATGGTACATGTGTTGTCACTATGATAAAAAATATCGATTAATGCAAATTTCCCAACGACTAACGAATGCCACTGTTCGAATAAAAATACGAAAATTCGAATGAAGTACGACAAATTTTTATGAATAAATTATTAATATTGAAAAAGTTAAAAAAAAAAGAAAAATGACCATGTGTCGATTACATGACTAACGAAACTTTTTAATAAATGTAATATATTGATGTGTATAAATAAAAAATATTTACAAATTTAACTATCAAACGTTTGTCTTTTTAAAAAGATTTATTTCAAAGTACAACTTGAATATAACACAATAGTTCGTTTAGAATAATCATACAAAATGTATTTATTCATTAACATTAGTATAAATTGTTTCGTATGATTTATAAAATTCCAATTCTAGAATTAATCACATTTCAATTTATTATTTCTTATTAAAAAGTAATAATATCAAATTTAAAAAATCATCGTCAAGTTACATAAATTCTGATTTGTTTTTTATCAAACAATTATTTATTGTGATAATTTAAAAGAATTAACTTTTAAAAAGTTAAAAAAATAATTATCAATATCTTTGATTTATTAAATAACAATTTTCCCTGAGTTTTCTTACTTTTGGGATACAAAGTAATGTGATAATTTCAAATATTATCTTTTTTTTTTTTAATAAATCATTAATAAAACTACAAAATTAAAATTTAAAAAATTGTATTTAAATAGTAGTTTGTCATAATAAATAACGTGCATAATACAATATTTGTGTACGTCGTTTCTCAAACCAGTGTTTATATTTTGAATCAAATCTATTTCTATGGTATTCGACTATGTATTATATTACTAATTTGAATTTTATATGTACAAGTTCTTTTAATATTCGACTAGATAATATTAATTAAATAAATTGTAGAAAAATAGAGCAACAATTATGTAAATCTCTTATTTAACACTCAAATATATAGCCTCTAAAAAATACAGAATAATATTTAATTTTTTAATGTGGAAACCTAGCTTTGTGGCTATAGTATTATGCACGTACTATACAATTAAAATAGTAAATTTATACTAGAGAAAAGCCTTGGGTTTGTTGGATTGCTTGCAGTAATTTATATCGTAATCTTTCTCGCGTTTGATATCGTGGTAGATCAAGCAAATTAAAACATGTATGAGCAACAGGTAATAAACGTTCATCATTCACTGGTTGTATTGTAATCTAAAATAAAAAGATAATAATAAATATTATAAAATTTCAATTAAAGTAATAAAAAAATAAAAATAAAAATAAAAGCTACACTATAGGCTGAATAGAGGCTATACTACAATATTGTCAAATATAGAATTTAAATAATCTACCTTGATCGCTTTCATGCCTTGTATAGGTATCCTATCACTTCCTGTCAAAAATAACAAAAATTTTTTCTTGTCTTCTAATGTAAGTTCGCGAAACACTTGCCAAAAGAGCACAATAGTAGAGTTATCTTTTGTGTATCCATTTTTATAAACTGTATTCTTTTGTAATTCTTCCCAATCGTAATCTTCATTTCCTACTACTACGGCCATAAGTTCATAACTGTGAAATAATTCCAATACACGACCACCGCAAACTTTATGAAAACCTTTATAAAATGCTTGAAAATGAGGATCTACAGATTTGTTTAATGTATAATCTACGTACAAATCAACAAATTGTTTCCTGCAAGAATAATTTCATTAAAATATGAAGCTTAAAATAAAAGTATAAAACAGAAATTTAATATTTAAAATATATCTGCATACTTATTTTTCAATGTAACAGGAACTTTAGTACCATTTGGTATAAGTTCATATATTTTTTTTTCGCCAAACACTTCTCTAACCACTTCAAAATGTAAACCAAAAACTTCCTCAAAATCTGCTTCTTCATAATCAAGTATATTTTGCATACTCCTGTAATTATTAAACATTGTATATCATTTTGCATTATTATATTATACTTATTCAGAAAGTATATGTGATTTAACTTACTTGGCAAATATTGGTGACATATCTTTAATATCATTTAAACCAACTGGTTCATGTAACAATTTTTTGTATAGAGCTAACGGGAATGGTAAGTCAATAATAATAAAATTATAAATAACTAAACCACAAAGAATTCCAATTAAAAAATACATGTTTTCGTCTTCAAGAGAATCTTCACTGAACCAGATAACTCTGGTTTCTTCATATTGTTTAAACATGCCATATTTAGGGTCTAGAATTTCTCTTAATAACAGCATAAAAAATTCCTTTTTAACTCCACCTGCATCTTCTGCTTCTTCACCGTGAAATTTTACCTTTATAAAATAACTTCATTAGTTACCTTTTATAAATAAAATATTTCAAATCCAGTTACAATACTCACTCGAAGAGGCTTTTTTAAATCACTAGAATCGTATTGTGCCAATTCTCGTAAAGTATCAGCAACTATGTTTTCCCGTGAAACGTTTAATATTACAAACTGAGTATGATGTCGTGCGTCTATAGAAAATGGATCAAAAAATATTTGATGGATAATGGATGCACGGGTTGCTGCCTCGTTCATTGCTGATTGCATCTAACATAACATATATGTAATATAAAAAATATAAAAACATATTTACAGTACAAGTTTATATTTTACCTGGATAGCTTGGTCTGTTTCAAGCAGTATAATTTTAGCATTTGCGTCAAGAAGAAACGGATAATTACAGAACACTTTTTGATACTGAAAAAAGGTTTAATTATGTAAACAAAACCCTATGGGTATTCAATTAACAAGTTTTTAATAACTTAAGAGGTTTAATAAATCAAACAGTTATATACATAACGTACTGAAGAAGATTCATTTTCTGAAATCCATTTTATGTAATCGGCCCTTATATCTATAAGTTCTATTAATTCTGGCAAATGAAATGTAGAATAAGGTACTTTGTGGCCTTCGTCACCTTCATTGTTCAATTTATTTAGCAAGTGTAAAGAATCTAAGGCAACTTGTAATGTCACATCCCATAATAAAACCTATATAAAAATATTCAAAACATACATTTTAAGCGTCTTATTAATTTCTTTAAATAATAGAAAAAGTAATTCGTAAATATTACCTTATTCGGCTTAGATTGTTTTACATAATGTAGAACAACTGATTTATGAACTCTAACTAATCTCTCAAAATAATAAGGTGGTGCTTTAAGCCACCAATTTGCAACAATTTCAAGAACCTCTGGTTTTAATGCTAAAACAGCTTTGCAGAATGGTTTATGTAATACATTACAATTAAGTGGATTTAAAAAACCGTGATACAAAGGTAATATTAAATAGACTCTTAAAGATTCCGGACAAATTATCTTAGGCGGTAGATTAACAAGAGAAGGAATCAAGCTGTCTGATATGCAAGTAAATATCTGAAGAAAGAATAATACATTTGTTGTAATTTTAAGTATGATGATATTTAAAGTTCGTAAAATTTATTTTTCCTATATACCAGTTCTTGAATTGTGCTGTTATCCAATTCTCTAATAATTCCGAACAATTTACTTGCTTGATCAATATTCACCCCATGATGCTTATTTGAACATCCATAACGAGCATCATTTTCAAGTAAAAACGATCCAGTTACACAGGATAGACTTTTAAATACCGTTTCTAAATATCTATAAGTATATTAATTCACAAAATTGTATAAATAAATGTTATTACTAATTATGTATAAAAGAAGCAAAATGACTGTTTTATTATTGCTTAAAAATAGAATTAATTGTCTTTTAAATAAACAATAAAAAAATTCGTTATATTCATATATAACAGCCTCAAGTATTAACTTTTCTACTCACGTCATAAGTTCATGATCAACAGGTGAATTTGCAGGTACTCGTTGACATGCCATTAATTGTTTTTCGGTTATTGTAAGAATTTGAAAGGAGCTTTCTATTATTCTACAGTCATCTGGTTTTATATTATCCTGAAAGTAGTTAAATCTATTTCTTCCATTTTTTGCAGAAACATTTAATCATTGTCACTTGAAAAAAATGTTTACATTTTGTAGAACTACTGTAGCGAAACAGTGATCTCCACCAGTAAAAATATGTTTAACGACATAGCCAATTGTACAAGAACTATGTTGTTTATCAAGATCCATTATTGAAGAACCATTTGGTGCAATCCATGGACCATGTACTACTTGTGGAGTTGTTATGCTTCGAGTAGAATGATTACCTAATTGACCTGTACCACCCAAACCCCATGCATAAACTCTACCTCGTGAAGGTACCAATGCCAAAGTATGTCTTTTGCCGCATGAGATCTTAAAATGAGATATTTAATATAACATGTTAATAAACAGATGATGTATCAAATTGTACTTTGTGCAATAAACCTGTGTAACTGTGCTGCCCATAAGTTCCATAACTTGACGAGGTAAAATTTCATTACTATTGTTTCCATGGCCTAACTGACCATACATTCCTGCACCACATGTAAACACACCTCCATCCTAATATAAGTTTTATATAATATTTGATAAAACTATTTGATGACGTAAGAATACTTACAACTGTTAAAAATGCAGAAAATTCTTCTCCACAAGCTGCATAACATATCTTTGCATTTTGTAATGTTTGCAGTTGGTATGGTAAATTTCTATCTTGTGTATCATTTAATCCCAATTGACCAAATGTATTCTTTCCCCATCCAAATACAGCTCCTATGGAAAAATTTAATTATTTCTCTAATAATAAAAATGATTTCTTGTACATTTTTTTTTACAGTACCTGATTTTGATACAGCTATGGTATGATATCCTCCACAAGCAATAAAGACAATAGGGATACCAATTAAACTACTGATAAGTTTAGGTTTTATTTCATATTTATTATCAACACCTAAGCCAAGTTGTCCTTCACTATTAGAACCCCAACTATATAATTCTCCATTATTTGTTAATGCAAGTGCATGTTTCATGCCACAAGCTACTTGTATTACTATACTTGTACCTAATGTTTTTACCATACGTGGTGAACATTCCATAAAATTTCTTGAATTCAAACCTGTAACAAAGTTAAAATATAAATCCTTAAAAAAAATAACTAGGAACTTTATAAATATCATTACCTAATTGACCTTCTGTATTAGATCCCCAACTGAACAATTGACCCCATTCATTTACTGCTAAAGTATGGTATGCTCCACAAGCTGCTTTCTTAAATACAAATGCATCTAGTCCAGATATCAATTCTAAATATAAAATTAAATATTTAATCCAATCTTAATCTAAACTTGATTTTCTGATTTATTAATTATTATTTATTAATATATTTACGAAATCTTTTTGTTCCTTGTTTATGACCAAGTTGTCCATAGTCATTGTTTCCACATGAATATATTTCACCATCTTGAGTAATAATTACTGTATAATTTTCACCACAAGCAACTGCAAAGAAATTATTTAAAAAAACAATTAAATAAAAATCTAATATATGATTTCATAAATAAACTCACTATGTTGAATTTTTGAAGCTTTTTTAAAATCGACTTCACGAGGAATTAAAATATTTTCATCCTCTATACCACCTAAACCTAGTTCACCATGAATGGTACTGCCCCAACAAAACATATTTTTATGTAAAGATGTTTCCACTGCTATAGCAGGCTCACAGGCCAAACGTCGTTTTTTATTCCAGTTTGCCTGCACAAATAATAATGTATAATAATAATTTTCAACTTACACAATATCTATATTTCTATATAGTATAAAATAATGAGACATGAGACATTTAATTACATATTTAAAAACAACAGTATAATAAAATCATTCAATTATTATTTTACGTTTTTTATCGTAAGTAAAAATAAATAGTAAATTCCTTATAGTACAATTGTTAAAATTTTATAATAATATATTAAAAATTATGTACAGCAGATACAACTAATAAGTAAATTAAATTAAAAACTAAATGAATGTACAATTGTGATTTATACCTATAATAATATAAGATAAAAATTAAATTATTTATATAATGCATGCTATGGTTTAATTTACTTTGTTTGGTTACACATAAGTGTAAGGACTATAAAAAGAACAATTAAAATTTAATTTGTCAGATTCTAAATAAATGCATGCTTATGTATACATACTTTTATACCATTATACAGTGAGGTAGTAAAAATAGTAATTAATATTTGTGATAACTTTTGGATGAAAACAGGTATCAGTAACTAACCATATTTTTCTATTTCTCTCATACTGAAAGCATCAGAAGTGTGGATGGGATATGCTATTTATGAAAAACTTGTGGCATGTCCTAAAAATAATATTTTTTTTATAATTCTCGTATATTTGAAACTTTGGAATACAATATTAATAAGAAAAATAAGAATATTTTAATAGAAAAGTTAATGTTGAACCATAAAGAAGAGCATAAAATTGAATTACACATAAAATTCAATTACAGCAAATATTATCGATCTGTACAGAAATTTAAAAAATAATTCAAATTAGGTTGAAGATGACAGTGCAAATATCGCAAACGTTCATACAACGTCATGTAATAAATTTTTATTGTACCTGTTTGTTCTGTCACAAGTGGAATTTTATCAATTTAGGTTAAGAGAAATGGGAGAAATTTGATAGTTTAGTATATGATAATATTTAAGTCAAAAAGTAACAAATTAAGAATGAAAGAATGGACAAGAAATTGAAATGCAGCAAATTTCACTTGTATGTTTTGATAAGAATTTATATTTCTTAGCAAAATATACATCTTTATCATAATTTTACCATTACTTACATTTCTTCTGAATAAAATGTATTTGCATACTTAAATGTCGGTTAGGAGGAAAAAACCAAAATTTCAAAGTACAACTACAATTTACTTAATAAAAAAAACTTTTTCTTGTTACGAACATTCGTTACCGTAAGATCACAATCTTAAGAATCACAAAACTTAACGTATATAGTGTCATAAAACATTAAATTAGTAACGAAATTTGTACAGAAATATCTGTTCGATGTATAATAATAAAAAACGATTAATGATAACAAATGCAAATTATTATAAATTATTATGCAATTTCTCAACACATTTATGGATTTTATAATATTTTAATTTAATTTTACAGATTAAGAATGTTCTCTCTAGTAAATTTTTAGTAAAAAAGAAAAGAAGTTTAAAATATTAAAATTACAATACATTTGACTTAAATTAGTAATTTAATAAAAATATATGTAGATATACAAGTCTGATTATCACACATAAAAAATTATCACAAAGTTTAGAAGATTTACTATATTCACTAACTATATCCTTACTCGCAAATTACTATTTCATGGTGAACTATTTCATCTATCTTGCACACATAGTTCATGATTTATCCCTTCTCTTGAGGAAAATTGAGCGAGCGGGTGGGCAAGCGGCAGCCATATTATCAGTGAGGTGTCAGTATTGTCTGAACGTGACGGGATTTTTGGGTGTGGATCATACAATTTCCTGTCGTTTTTTGTAGCAAGTACAGTGCAAGTGCAAGTGCCACCGGTCTACTGTGTATGTGTGGCACATGTGTCATAGAATTTATATCTTATAAATACAGTAAGTTCTACATATTGAATTGGAACTCGGTATTAAGCAGTTATAAATTTTATATAAATCTTAGAACAAATTATATAGTCCTTCAAGTATTCTTCGAAATATCACTCATTACAGTATTACTAGACATTTTTGTAACGATATACACATTTACTTTCCTATTCTTTCCTTGAGAACTTAGTTGCTTACTAACCTACATACAGGTTATTTCTTTATGTTACAGTCATCTCATAACACTCTTGTACAATTTCTAATTGTAAATACGTTTTCCTTTTGACACTTTGATTTTACGTATTACATTTGTATGATAGTTTTATGAATATATTTGCTTTATAATTTGATTCATTGAAGGTGACATGTTGAATCCCAACCTTTTTTTCGTGAAGGACGATGCAGTAAACATATGAATGAAAATAAAGTTCCTGTAACTGTACATAAGTAATGAATCATAAAATAAAATGTTAAGATGATTTAATGTTACAAGCATCTCGTATAGTATAATTGTAATGTGAAATACCCAGTCTCTCGCGTGAAGTGTTTAGCAATCGTTTTTTCCTTTAAAGCAAAACGAGACGACAGAAACAGAATACGAGCTTATATTTCTGTTAGTCCTACGCATTTCTAGTCAACCTCAGCAATTAACTTACAATATTTCACGCTATATATTAATGTATATAACAAAAGTCTTCGTTTTTTCCCATAATTATTTTTTTCTTTAGCCAATCGTATTTCGATAATCGATATATTTGAAATATTGTATTAACATACACATTAAAATATTTTATTGAATTTTACGTAGATAATAAAGCACGTATTTTACTTTAGATAAAGATAAATTAAAATGCCATATATTTTACGTCAATGAACGACTTTAAAAGAGATTTCAAAACACGAATTTTCTATTCTTTTTTTTTATCACAACGTTCCTTTAATTCATTATGTGGACATTTCTGTACATATGTATTACAATCCTCTTTTCATCTATTAATTCGTCTCGAATTTAAAACATGCCGTGCATATATTTGAGAATTTTTTCGCTGGTGATAGAGATAAAAATTTTGAATTCATACAGCGAAAAATATGCTTTAACCATTCACGTAAACACAGAGATTTTGTGACGAGTATTTTGGACTTCGGACGCAGTAGTTGGAAATGGAGACTTTATTAATAGATATGTACTTTCTATCTCCATGCTACGTGAAAAGTTGGACGGATACGTCGCGCGGAATGTTTTTTTACCGGTATTGACAAAAAGTTCGGGAGATACCAATGGTTCAACGGACGTAGTGGTCCTAGATAAAAGGGGAATGCTAGACACAGTGCGCAGGCACTCCTTGCTGCGAGCGGATGTCGGTCACGCGGATTTACATTATAACCTGTCTCTTCTTCCAATATGGAGACTTGTATGCAGTTCTCGGCTGTGAACGTGCTACTTTTTTTTTTTTTTTAGCAATGATTTGCAGTAATTTCAAATTGATTCGTCATTAGAAGATAATATTAATTAGTAATGAATCATTACTAATATTTTTTATTATCACCAATTATCATTAATTAACGTTGTCAAATATCTCTTACGTACTTTAAATATATTTTATATAAAGAATATTACGACATATTATAATAAAAATATTAATTCGTTATTTGTTTTATAACAAATATTGAAAATAGATAGAAAAAGTAGTAATAATTACTAACACTTTCTAAATACAATATTTCTAACAGTTAATATTATTTATTAGTTAAGTAACATTCATAAGTTTTATTAATTATAGTTTATTTTTGTTATAGATTGATATTTTCGTTGTTTGACACGGAAAAACACAGAAAGACAAAATGCCGAAAACGGTAGGTATATTTAATAAAGAAAAGTTTTTTAAATTTAATTTTAATTTTGTATAATCTAATGCAGTATAATCTTATAAATCTATAACAATAAAAAGGACATTATTGAAAGCAGAGATTTTATACTTTTTGTACGTACCTTTTAAATTGCGATGACTGGTATTTCGGGATATTCATTGTGGTATTTTCAAACGAAGAAACGATTAATTTTCACTATTCAACAAGTTATACCTTTGTAATTATCTTAAGAAAAGAAATAATTGAAACACAATATAATTAATATACTAGCTACACAAAAGTTCCTTATATTTGATAATGTTTTACAATTTTGAAGATGTCCGATCATGTCGGTAAATGTAGTGAACCGTTCCCGAAAAATTACTTCCTTCTGTACACCCGGTATTTTAACTGAACGCTGATTGGCTACGGCTATACGCACCGGCTTCCTCACGTGATCATTTTCATTCTTCTCTTTTGCTCTTATGAACGTTTGCTATGACTCGGAAAGAGAGAAAGAACGATGCATTGCTTGCAAAGAAGCGGAGTGGGGGGACAAAAGACGCTACCGGCTGCACTTGCCCCTTAGCCCATTGTACGACTTGAAACCGGCATAAGTCGACAGACAGGCGGTTAAATCTTATGTTATCGAGTGTTCATCCGTTTTGACCAGTATATATCTCCAAATTTCCAGTGCGCCGTTCAAATTGTTTGTGTTCTGGCTCTCAATTACTTAGCTACTTGATCAACTTACGTTTAAACGATTTATATATCGATCTCATTTGATTTTACGATTACGTTTTTGTATCGTCGCAGCTATGGTTGCCGGTAATAAAATGGTAAGCGTTTTTTTTCTGTTTCCTTGATAATTTCTTTTTGGTAATACCTTCGATGGAATATAGGTTAGAACTGTTGAATATATTTGATACATTTGCAAATTACTCCTCCTCTTTCGAGGAAAAGAAATTACGTACGCGTGTGTGTGAAAAGGGTTAGAAGTGGCGTCCTTCCGTCTACCGGGTGACGTTTGAATTTATCTCGATGAATTTCGTACGTTTGATTTTTGTTTCTTCTTTTTCTATGCAAAGATGAATGTCAGGGTGACGACGATGGACGCCGAACTGGAGTTCGCGATCCAGCAGACGACCACTGGGAAGCAACTATTTGATCAAGTTGTGAAAACGATCGGGCTGCGTGAGGTGTGGTTTTTCGGGCTCCAATATACAGACAATAAGGGCGACCTGACGTGGATAAAATTGTACAAGAAGGTAGGATGACTGGTTGTTTATTGCACTATGTAATTCCTCTAATCGTACACGGTGGCTCTCTTTTGTCATTTAAAATTGAGCTATACTTGCGAATATTAAAGAGCTTTCTGTAGTTGCTTCAGCGTGACACACGCTCAGTGTGAAACTATTTAATAACCGCCATATATTCACTGCTTTGTATAGGTAGTAAATTAGTGATATATGGAGAATACACTATTATCCATTATAATTTAAAAATGGTAAATAATTGCTTTCACGAGATAAATTTTCATAAGAGACGTGGAGCAAAATAGAATAATGTATAATTTAGTATTGATTATTCAGTATGATAGTTTTGTACAACTGTTTAACTATTTTTAACAGTTAGAAATAAAAAAAGAAATACTTATAATAATAAAATTATTTTTACGTAAAACTGAATTGTTTGATTTGAGACGAGTGTCTGATATCAATTGAATTCAGTCTGATTTACATAAAAAAGTGAGTTAGGGAGAGATGTGACGGCGGACGCTGATGTCATCGACTTTCGTAGATTTCCTACGTTCAACTTTACGCTCGAATCTTATCTTACAGCATCATTCAAACGACGTACATGTAAAAAAAAACTTCTATTTATCATGATATTGTTCATGACTAATCAATATTTCATTTCCCTAAAAATTTGCATGTAACAATTTTTATGTGTAATGTGCATAATTCTCATATGTTACGATAATAGAGTAAGATAATCAAAATTTGAATTTAAAAAATATCAACTAATATTATTTATGAATAATATTCAAACATATATATATATGTGTTCCTTCAGATAAAAATGATAGCACAATTCTCTCACGATTTACATTTTAATCATTAAAATGATGAAGAATGATCCTTTCGATCATTTTTTCCAAAGTATTATAATTTAACGCTATATTTTCAGTCGATTTTTTTTTTTTTTTTCTTCAATGGAGTTTAGCCCGGAATTACAGTCTTCCGACGCGTGAATTGAAGTACAGTTACGACCAAGTGGATGTTCCATTTGCTTTCACCAAGCGGTTGATGTCGTAGACGCGCCTTCACCTTGACACAGTCGCGTTCGTGTATATACCTTTGTCTTTTTGCCGTCTTTTTTTCCACGATTTTCAACATTTCTACGAATCAACTAAATGGTAGCCAATTTGAAGCGACCGCGGCGCTTCGAATCACCGTTCCTTTTTCCCTTGTTTCCTAGAATAAGACACACTGGCATTTTTTCCAATAGGAAAAACGAGAAACTTGCGGGAGATAAAACATCTGGTTGCCAAGTGAAATTCGAATTAACTTATGTATGAAAGACCTTAATTATAGATACGAAGTGGATAATGATCTCATAGGAAGCAGTTGGCATTGGAAAATCCATTTGTTTCTCTCATACGAAATTGTTATTTATCATGTGTAAGATCAAAATGCCTTAGAATTTTAAAATATGAGCAATTATACATAATCGCATCCGTGTTTTGTCTTTGGGGAAAAACAATGTTTCTAAACGATTGCTACGTCCAGGTTTGAATTTGTGTTAAAGTTCAAATATTATAATAGTTATGTATGTAATATATAGTGTATGGTAGGCTTGATAAAAAGAAATTAAACTTTCAAACGTAACTTTTTGACTTTAAACTATGTAATTACTCTCTTAATTTTAAGATTTGTGAAATTTGAAATTTTAAAGTAAATTATTTAGATCTAGATTAATACATAGTTAGTTAAAGATCATGAATAATTACCAGATGGAGCTTTACCACTTTGGGACTCTTTGGGACTCTTAATTAGATAGAAGTTTTTGTAGAAATGTATTTTAAGATTCTATTTATTTTTCCAGAATAGATATAAAGATTAGATAAAGTAATTGTATTATCTGAAGTTGCAAATAATAAATATTCTAGTATTGATATAAATAATAAATAGAAAGTAAAATTGTATTGTTATTTGAAGCTAAATTTGTAGAAATCACAATGTGATAAATTGTATTATTTTGATTATATGGGCAAGAAGCGATACATTTATTGAATCATTTTGAAAAATTGAATGTAGAAAATTTTAACACATGAAAATAAGTCCTATGCAGTGTATGATTTAAAAGAAAAAAAAAAATACAATTTCATTGTATTACTGTAGTACAAAATAAAATTCTTCGAATGATTATACTAGTAACTGAATGAACAGTGAAAATAAATTTTGGATGTGGCCTATCTTTTAGATATGAAGCAATGCTTGGGAAAGTATTATTTTTAAATAAAATACGATTAAATTCGATTATTTGTGTACAGACAGTTCTAAAAACATCATTTTTGAAATATAAGTTGAAAATTGAATGTAAATCTGACTTACCGGAAATTTTTGCATTGAAATTTTGTTTTACTGCAATAAAGCATGGAGCCAGTACTTCGAGTACTGTACACTGGCTGGTACTAAATGGACCAATGTATCGCTGACTTATCGTACCGCTAGGCGATATCCCAGTATGGAGGCAGCTAGTCGGTGTCCGGTTGGATTAGTTGTTTGGTAGACTTTTTCTTTAACGACCGAATGAATGATTGCACGCAGCCGGAAAATGCAATAACGAGGGTGGTGAAGAAAGAGGTGAAGAAGAAAGTTCGAAAGCTGAGAGGTCGTTCGGACTCGGACACGGACGACGACGAGTTTGAGGACGACCTGGTAAGAGACGGAAAGAGGGACTTGCTTTTCTCACGTTCCGAGATTCTTCGATGTGAAAATAAAGCAAGGGTTTCGGTTCGAGAGAAACGGTAGGAAAGGCAAATAAGTCACGATTTCTCGAACTTTGTTTGGTTGACGAATATTATTTTATTTTATTAGAAATTATAGGTGATCCTTTGTGAAAAAATAAACCAGAAATGCAAAATGAAGATTCGAACGAAAAAAATTAGAATTGAAGTTGGGAAAATTCTATTAAATATCTTTCTTTGGATTCGTATTTATTGAATATAAATTTTTCGTTACTTTCTTCTCTGAATAATGCAATTTACAGAAACGGTACTGAAAGAAAAGCCAGCCTGCTCCATTAAATCAATTTATCATGGGACATGCAATTGGTATATATGATACTTTCAGATATAGTATTCGTCATGTGAAAATGTAATATAAGATATTCTTTTCCTTTGAATTTATATTTATCAAGTATATACATCTTTTTCTCTTTATTTTCATAATGCAATCTGTTGAAACGATATTGAAAGGAAACTCAGTTCGCGTCATTAAATATTCAAGTGCAGTTAAATCGAGCTGCGTATACCACAAGTTTCCACTTTCTTTTTTAACTGGTTCTGGAAACTATTTCATTTCTTTTATGTACTTTTTTTTTTTATAGCAAAAGATTTAAAGAATTTCATTTTTCCGTAAATATTATTTTCCGAAATGTTTCAGAAGCAATTCTTAGATTATAGCAATTGTCGTGAGTGTACTTTCGTCTTTTTAGCATCTCCTTGACATGAAACGATTATAATAACGACGTCAGCGATTGTTCTTTTCTATCTATCTAGTTGATTAAAATAATTTCGTTATTGGAATACGTTCATCTCTTTCAATTTTGTTCAAAAGTACAAGTATAGTGGTTCATAAAATTATATTTTATTTGAACGTTTGCCAATTTGACACAACCATCATGTTTTTATTAGATTTTTTAATAAAAATTAAGTTTAAATTTTTATTAGTAAAATTTATTTATTTGAAAATGTTTGCAGCTACTAGTTATGTCAATTATCTTGTAATTTCTTCTATAATATATATTCTATTATATTTCTAATATATATTCTATTATAATATATATAATACATATTTTCTATAATAATAAATATATATATATATATATATATATATTCAGATTTGTTTCAAACTTTACCAATGTAATCAACACGGTCAAGTCGCGTAACAGTGCTAATGAAGTTTCAAAGTGTTTCGTATGATGCACGCAAAAAAGGTGTCCACGAGCGTTCGAATCCTGAGCCTATGTACTTGTTCATTTACGATTTGATCGTCATTTGCAACACGATCATTATGTATTATGCAGAAACCTACGGTTGTTCTCCGAGGAGGCACAAGTTCCTGAAGAATGAGAGTTATCTTTGCGACATGCCTGATGACGTTGCCTTTTAAAGTGTGTTTCGCAAAGTAAAGAGCGGTGCTACGAAACGAGATATCGCGTCGACTGTTGTTTAGAAGAGCCAGCTTAGCCGCTTATCAGCCAGTATTTTACAGGTGTGATAAAAGAGGAGAAAAAAGGAGAAGGAAACTACACACGTAGTTCGTGTGCGCATTGTATGTCGAACGAGAACACCGGGTTTTGTTAAAACGGCTCCAGCCGCCAGTATGTTACGTCAATTGCATGAAAATAACGCTGGCTGGATGAGTCATTACGTCGACGCCATTTAAGGAAACAAGAAAACCATCCGCTTGTTTGCTTTATGTCCCAAAGGCTAGTCATCTGTATCATTGCTTGGCCAAGTGTGCTATTGCTCTCAGTTATTAATTGGGACAACAGAAACTTGTCGGTCGATGTGTGATACATTTCATATACCTGCGAATTCTGTAACCTTCCTCGACTTCATCACCCCCCCCCCCCCTTTTTTTTTGCATCTATTTGGACTAATAAAATCGTTTGTCTTTTCGTGCGCGAATACTGTGCAAATATTTTTACGGTGTTTAATTCCGATGATTGAACATGCTACTTATCACGGGATGGAAACGTTGTCAGCTTCATTATTTATGACTCTTTATGTGTTACAAGGTTAAGACACCAGATGACCTATACTACTCGATATCTGGACATTGATTTGTAGTAACGGTATATGACCGCATATGTTACCAAAATCCTCAGCAATGAGGCCAATAATAAAGAACAATGCTCGTTATAGATACGGATAAAAATTAGTTCACGTGAAATTTCGAGGAGCTCGTACATGTTGCAAATTAAACACCGATGTATCTCGTCGAATGTTACACGATAACATCGTCTCGCGTGATAT